TCTCCCGTTTATTCGAGATAAATAAAGTTCGGTGGCGACTCTGTCGAACCGCATTTCCGCGCCTTTCGCGCGAGGGTCGTTTCTCCGAAATGTCTCCGTAATTTTTCGAGGTGCGACACCATTTCAACCTTTCACAAATGAATCCTTCACACCAATGTCTCCATTTAATCGTCTTGGCCGCACACCATTGATCCCTTCATCACATATGAACTACTCTGGCATAGATCGCACGCTCAATTTCAACACACAAGACCTCATGGAAATGTAAGAAATTCTTAGGGAATCAACTGGAAATATTCCCGAGACTTCAACTCCTCAAACAGCTAGAGTGAATCAACAACGAGAGGAACGAGTGCAACGAGTGAGGGTGCCTAGAGGATGTGGAACCGGTGGTCGGTATGACTAACCCGGTCGCCAATATTAATTTATGTAATATTATTTCTAATTAATGATTAATGTTATTCATTTTTGTTTAAAAAATTTATATAATACACCCTGTCTTCATATCAATTGGCGCCTCCCTTTTAATATTAACACTCAGTCGCCAATTGAATTAGCAGCATCGCAAGGTGTCTCAAATTCAATTGGTGACATCTCTAAAGCCCATAAAATTGTCGCCAATTCAGATGACGCCGCCACTCAATCACACCCCAAATTGGGGTGCTTCTAGAAATAACTTAAAAAATGAGGTAGTTTGAGATTTTTTTTAAAAAATAGGATTATTTCAGTAAAAGTTTCTATTATATTTATCATAGGTTTTAAATTTAAATAATATTGAAACATAATACAAATAATAAAAAGAGAAGACATAAGTGAACACATAGGACCTTATAATAAGAATTTAAAATGAGTTTATGTCAAATCAAATAAATAATTATATATTTATTTAATTTGTAATTCAAATTATTTTAAATAAGTTGATAGAGTGTGAATTTGACTATTTAAGAATTACTATAATACAGTTATAAAATACCAGTTAAGCAGCTTTGAATTTCTAGAAATCAATTAAAGACTAAATCATAACTTAACCGTTTTTTAAAGAAACGACAAATAAAGACAGTTGTTTTTTTAAGCAACAAAAAATTATGATTTGTTAAAGAAAAACAAAATCGTTATCTATATAAATTTATAATTTATGTTACTTTGGTGTTATTTCTACTGTAGAGTCCTTATAATATTTATAAATTTTAGTACTCTTTAAAAAAATTTCATTGTTTCTTTTAATAATAACTGATAAATTTGTATTTTGAAAAATACAAAAATAAATAAATTATAGGTCAAATTTTTGTCACTGACAAATATTAAAAGTTATAAAAAGTATTTATTTTTAAAAAATAAATATAAAACAAAGTTATCATAGGAAAATAAAAATAACACATCTATTTTTACTATACAGTTGTGACATCCACCAAATAATATTTTTAGTATAAAGAAATTATAAATTTTTAATTAAAATAAATTCTAAAATATAAATAAAAAAGTGTATGTTATTGAAACAAAATATTTACTTGTAGACAAAATTACATTGTTGATTCAAATATAAAATTAATAATATGTGAAAAAAAATACATAGTTGATTAATATATTTATATATACAAGAAAAAATATTATTGTTATAAACGAGAAAAACTTTTGTTTTAAATATTAAATTTTATAGATTTATCGATAAAGTTTTTCCAAATGTGAAAAGATTAATGAAAAAAAAACTATTTTATAACAAGAACAATTTTATTAAAACACGAAAATAAAAAAAATTATAAAAAAACGTAAAATTACTAATCAAAATATTGAATAATAAAAAGAAAAAAATTACTATTGATTTTAATACTTTTGTAAATAATGTAGAAATAAAATCAATATTTATATAAATAATAATATATTATTAATTTAAATATTTTTATATATAAAATAAATTATAAACAATAATTTGTTATATTTTTAAAAATAATAAATTTTATACTTGAACAATTTAATGTATTCATGGGAACTCACTAATATTTCATTAACTATATTTTGAAAAAGGTGTCATAGTCACTTATTTTTCTTGCAAAAACAAATATAATAAAAGAAAACAGGCGAATAAGACGATTGTTGCGAGTAGGAATGTTCAAATAAATCGGTTATTTAAATAATTCATATTTATATCTAAACTTAGTTATTAAAAATTGGTTAATTATTAGTATGATTTTAACCAAATTCATATTTGAATATATTTTTAATATTATTTTAACCAAATTTATAATTTGGACATCCATATCCAAAATAAAAATTAAATTAGTCAATTTCTTTAATTAAAAAAAAACTTTGAGAATTTTTTTCAAAAAAAGAATTTTTATTTTGAAAAAAATAATATTATTTTAATTCTTTTTAGTAAATAAAATTTTTTTCTAAAAAATTTTAAAATATTATTTATTTTTAAAATTTTAAAATAACTATTGATTTTTTTGAACATCAATATTTTTTTAAAAAAATATTATAATTTTGAAAAAATCAATTTTAAAATAAAATTAATTCAAAATTAATTATAAAATTGGTTATGAATATAACCGATTTATAACTATTTTAAAAAATAAAAATCGATTATAAAAGTTGATTTTAATAAACGATTACAACATCTAAATTATTTATGATTGTGGATTGGTTACAAATATTAGACAAACTCCAATGAGAGTTCTTAGAGTGGGTTTGCCAACGTGGCACTCATATTTGTTGTTTTCAAGATGGAAAAGTTCTTAAATATGTAACGGTTCTTCAATGGTTCTTATATTAAAATATTAATTTTATAATATAAAAATTATAATATAATATAAAATTTTATTTATTATTTTAATTAAAATTTAAATATTTAAATTATAATTTTAAATAAAATAAATTTAATATAAATAATATTTTTTAAGTAAAGTGATGGGACCCAATATAGATTTTTTAGAGTTGCACTATTGGAGTGAAAATTGAATAAGATGCTTTAAAAGAGTGGATCCCACAAAAAACTTAAAAATGAGTTGCACCATTGGAGATGCTCTTAATCATCCATAAACACTTCTAGATGCGAAAAATATTAATGGAGTATTTTTCTTAGGTGTAATTTGAACCAGAATTGTCGTCAACTCAACTTGATCCAGATTTGTCTTTAAAAACTATAAATAGTTGTTAATAATTTTGGCATTTTGCTGAAACAAAAAAAACAAAAAATATAGAAAAAAACGAGGTAGGAAGAAAAGATGCTGAGTGTGATGTGCTACCATCACATGTCCCCACGTGGGTGCAGTTGTAAGAAGGCACATAGTAGATATGGAATCATTTAGAAGAACCTTCGTGAGCAGCTACTCCGGACATATCCCTTAATTTAATCATAATCTCCTTGGAATAGTTAAAAAATGAATTTAATTGCTGTAAAATAATTTTATATCGTCAAACAATCAATTATTCATATGGATTCGTCAATCATATTATAAATATTAAATTATTAATTTAATATAGTAAATTAATGTATTCTTATTAAATAATAATATAAAATTATTTTATACGGTCAATATATATTAATTAAATTAATTTTATTTATATGAAATTTTTATAAATATTATTTTTTATTATATATATATATATATATATATATATATATATATATATATATATATATATATATATATATATATATATATATATATATATATATATATATATATATATATATATATATATATATATATATATATATATATATATATATATATATATATATATATATATATATATATATATATATATATATATATATATATATATATATATATATATATATCATCGATTTTGATAGGATATTAAATATTTAGTAAAAAACATGTTTTTTTATATCAAATTTTAAAATAGTTGATATCAAAATTGTGGATTTATCCTGACAATTCAGAAATGTTTGATAGAATCTAAAACTTTATTTGTATTTTTATAGACAATTTAGAAATATAGTAAAATACATCTGTGATTTTTCTAAATATATATTTTAGTTTCTCAAAACATTTATTTTAAAGAATAGCACTTTTAAAATTTTTCATTCTCATTGCAATTTGATGATGTTCTTTTTACAATTAGCGGCAATTTATTATTTAGCGATCGAATTAGTGACGATTTAAATATTAGAGATAAAAAATATAGATGAAAATTTTTAAAAAAACTATTTTTTAAAAAAATTATTTTGAGTGATTAAATTTAAAATTTAAAATATTTAGAAGGATCAAAAATATATAATATATATCTATGAATTTTTACCGACAATTTTAAAATTCATCGGAAAAATGCGGATATTAATACATGCAATTTAGAAAATTTTGGTAAAAATACATTTAAACTTATCAAATTTTTAGACTTGTCGATATATGTAAGGGTGAGATAGGATATTTTAAAAAATTCGGAATGTAAATTTTAATTTTGGTCTATTTTTCTTTCAATTGTAAATAATAAATATTCTATAAATTTGTGGATACAATCACAATATTATAAAAATGTTAGCACAATACAACCGTTCAAAAATAATACTATTAAATTTTTAAGAAGTATAAGAAAATATCTAATATATTAAATTTTTTGAAATATTCAATAAATATTTTGTTACGTTTCAAATATTTCAATCAATTCAATAAAAAATTATACCAGATTCTTTTTTTGTATATTACCCATTATGATAAATTTTGTGAGTGAGATCAATTTTGCAAAATGTTGATAATGAAAACAATAAAAAAAAGTATTTTTAATATTATAAAATATATATATACACGAGGGTTTCATACGAATGTAAGAAAGATTCCTTAAAGAAGATTCCAACATGGGGACATGTGATGTGTTTGACACATTGTTTAAATAAATAATTTTGGCACATTGTTTAAATAAATAAAAATATAGAAGAAAAAGATGAAATAGGAAGAGAAGGTGCTGAAAGAGTTTTACTATAAATCCACAAACAGATGACTAGTTTAGAGATAAGAAAACCATTCCATCATAGAGATATGTCTTCTGCAGCAATAACAGTTCTAGCTTTCCTTTTCATCACTTTCACATACTTTTTATTCACATTCTTCTCAAATCCAAAACAGAAAAACAATAACAACAAAAAGCCACCAGGTCCACCAACTCTACCAATCATCGGAAACCTTCACCTGTTAGGCAAACTTCCACATCGAGCACTTGAATCACTCTCTAAAAAATATGGTCCAATCATGTCCATGCAACTTGGTCAAATACCAGCTGTTGTCATTTCATCTTCAAAAGCAGCAGAACTATTCCTCAAAACTCATGACTTAGTTTTTGCAAGCCGACCAAAGACTCAAGCATCTGATATCCTGTCTTACGGTACCAAAGGGTTCGTCTTTTCTGAATACGGTCCTTATTGGCGTAATGTAAGAAAACTTGTCACTTTAAAACTTGTTAGTGCTTCCAAAATTGAGAAGTTCGCTCCTATTAGAAAACAAGAGTTCCGTGTCTTGGTTAAATCTTTGGAGAAAGCTGCTTTGGTGGGTGAGGTTGTGAATGTTAGTGAGGCTGTAGAAAATTTTATAGAGGATATTGTGTATAAGATGATGTTGGGTGGGAGTAAGTATGAGCAATTTGACATCAAGAGACTGGTTAAAGAATCAGTGGTTTTGCTTGGAGCTTTTAATATAGCTGATTTTGTTCCTTGGCTCGCTGCATTCGATCTTCAGGTATGTATGTGTTTACATGTATGATTATGTTAAGTTGATTGAAAATATTCATTTTGTGATTGATTTTATTTATTTAACTCATTGTTAGGGATTAAAACGAGCGTGCAAGAAAGCCAGTAGAGCAATTGATGATGCACTAGAGGTGATAATAACAGACCATGAAAAAGTTACTAATGTTGACAAAAATCGTCACGAAGATTTCATAGACATACTTCTTTCAATTGTAAACCAAACTATTGATCAGGAGAGTGAACCAAAAGATGCCATTGATCGATCTAATATTAAGGCTATTTTACTCGACTTGTTAATGGCAACCCTCGATACATCGTCTACTGCGATTGAGTGGACTTTAATTGAACTTATCAGGCATCCAAGAGTCATGAAAATCTTGCAAGATGAAATACAAAATGAAGTGGGAAATAAAAGAATGGTTGAAGAAAAGGATGTGAAAAAGTTTAATTACTTAGATATGGTGATTGATGAATCCTTAAGACTTCATTCTGTTGGACCCTTACTAATCCCTCGTGAATCTAGAGAGAACGTAACAATCGAGGGTTATTTTATAAAAGAAAAAACACGAGTCATAGTAAATGCATGGGCAATAGGAAGAGATCCTAATGTTTGGTCCAATAATGTTGAAGAATTCTATCCAGAGAGATTCATTGATAAGAAAATGAATTATCAAGGAAAAGAGTTTGAATCAATACCATTTGGTTCTGGTCGGAGGGGTTGTGCTGGTATTCAAATGGGTTTAATTACTGTTAAATCCATTATAGCACAACTGGTGCATTGTTTTAATTGGGAACTTCCAGATGATATAAGTCCTTCTGATCTGAATATGGAGGAGACATTTGGAATCTCAGCACCAAGAGCTCAACATTTGCACGCAATACCGAGATATCGTTTGGTTGATGTCGAGCTTGAATAAGTTTAAGAATAGATTGTATCCGCATTCAATGAGATTTCTACTGATAATGATGCAACATTGTAGATCTATCAATGAAGTCAGTCTAAAATAAGTTAATGAATATTGATTGATTTCCATTTGTTAATGACCAATGTTCAGTGGAATAAACTCATCTGTTAAATGCCTTGTCTTGTCTTTTACTCCGTCTTTGTTTCATTTTTGTACTACTATTATTGATTTTAAAGTTGATATGTGACATAATAAAAACCTAGAAATGAGATATACAACGAAATTTTAAAGACATGAACTTTGAATGTTTTGTTTAGAGGATTTTGAAACTGCAGGGGCTGCTTTTGACGCAACAGTAGGAAGACGAATTCGTATGATCGAGGGATCCTGATGTTTTTTAGCTATAAGGTAAATTATCTACTCACAAACTATGATAAATAACTTCGTGCTTAGTAGTAAACTACCTACCCATTACAATTCATTGCCAGCAATCTATCATTTATACCCTTTCACTAAATTTTCATTTACACTATCTAAAGCCCTTTTATGTAATCAACTACCTATCCATTACAATTCATTGCCAGCAATCTATCATTTATACCCTTTCACTAAATTTTCATTTACACTATCTAAAGCCCTTTTATGTAATTGACTAAATCATAATTTATTACCCAATCAGAAGACCCCATATTGCCATGTGGCAGAAGTTTTTCAAAAAACTCTTACCATTTTCCTCTCATTCTTGTCTTCCCTTTTACTCTTAGCTTCTCTCTCTTCTTCCCTCTTTCTCTCACCTTCTATCTATCTCTTTCTCCATTTTCTCTATTTTTTTCTTCTTCTAAATATTTCTTCTTAAAATCATATTATGCAAATAAGAAGATGGTGATATGCTTATGGGTCATGGTTCCAATTTCAACTCCAACTGAAAAAGACGGAGATTTGGGCGTGGGTTGTGGTCTGAGATTCAAACCAAGAAGAAGATGAAGATTTATTCGCCCCTCTCACATTTCAGACCTAAAAATACTTTCTTCTCTCTTGTCTGATTTCAAACAAAGAAGAAGAATGAGATCTATAGCTTTTAAATCCAGGTACTCAACTTTGCATTTTGTTCTTTCTAAGTTGCAAAAAAGTTTTGGATATTTCAATGCATTTCAACACATTTATGTTCTCACGTGTTAACCTAAAACATTATGCTATTTCAATGCATTTCAGTTTGGGTGAAATGCAATTATCAAATGCATCATCACATTCACTGAGCCAACCATGTGATTCATCAGTGCAATCCACCAACAAAAGCTGGACTAGTTCTACTGAGAAGGAAACCGCAACTTTGAAAGCTATAGATTTTGGTTTGTCGGTGTTTTTTAAACCAGGTAAGGATTCTGGTTGGTGATTAAGTCTGCAATGTTGCTTGGTTGGTGTCATGGGTTTGCAATTTGCTTAAAGCTTTCCATTTTATGCAGGTGAAAGATTTAATGAGATAGTTGGAAGTCCATATTACATGGCTCCGGAGGTATTGAAGAGAAATTATGGCCCGGAAGTAGATATTTGGAGTGCTGAAGTTATTCTATACCTCTTACTTTCTGGTGTGCCTCCATTTTGGGCAGGTTAGTTTCATCTTGTGATTCGATGAATGATGTTTGATTGATAAAAGAGAGGATTTTCCCATTCACTTCAGAGTTATTCCAATTTCATTATTATTTGTTGTTTTTCTTTTTTCGGTTTGATTAATTTGATTTACTAAACTTTGTCTCTCTTCCTCTTTTGTGAAATGAAGAAACTAAGCAAGGAGTTGCACAAACAATTATATGATCTGTTGTTGATTTCAAAAGGGACCCATGGCCTAAAGTACATGATGAGAATACCAGGTATCAATTTCCTCTCCTCATATAGAAGTGACTTATATCCTGTTTAACTTGAATACCATAGGAAATCATTCTTGCAGATAACTCTGACATGATTTATGTTGTTACTAATATTTGTGTTGCTTGGTTACGTAGGTTGAAGTACCAAATCATGATAATTAAATACCATTTGGAACATAAAATTAAGAATGCATTAGGTGTCAGTAGCAGAATGTTTTGTTTCTCATGTTTTTTGACAGGGATATATTTGAGAGTTCGTATTTGAAGGCGCCGTTGGGTTTCTCCTGTACAAAACTCTATACACACTGCTTCTTGTGATTGTGGATTGGTTAATTGCTTCACTTCATATGATGAAATGGATTGGAATTGATTCAGAATTTGAACTATCCATGGTTGAATAAGCCATTGCTGCATCATCTCTACATACATATAACACCGACTCACATTTTAGCTTGACCGGAGTGTGAGTTTCAAATATCTATGCTTAATATTTTGTTGTTGTCCAATGACATAGAACACTGTTTTTGAATCACATAACATATAAGGGTTATAGAACTTCTATGCTTTTGAATCTCGTGCCATTAATATAACTAATAATAGAATTATCCATAGTCTTATAACCAATCTAAAGAAATTTGAAGAACATACCATTTTCTGCCATGTTACTTATACAGTCCCATCATTTCAATTATTTTTTGGTTCAATTTTTTGTCGATTTGTTTTCAGATACATATATAAATTTAGTATGAACTGTGTAGAATATAATGATGTAGTTGTCTGAGGTGTGTTGAAAATACAGATTAAAGAGAGTGTGTGTATGACTATTACTTGAAATGTTCTAAATTAACAAGTTTGATTTAAAGTACTTTTGAGAACTCGTGCATGACCAATTAATATAGTGGCCCTTTAATTTTGTATTAATGTAATTTTGGAGCCCTTAAGTTATTTTAAGGATGATTCTTGCAAATAACCAACCAAGGTTCAAAAGGCTTGTCATATAAACATGAAGTCATGTTTTGCTTTTAAGGTATCAAATATAGATAAGTAAGCTATTGATCACACTTATGCTTCCTTTTCATCTAACTCTAGCCTCTTTATGTTTTCGTATTATTTCTTCGATGTATTGATCTATGCTCTATTTTTAATCATGCAATATGATCTTGGTGGTTTAGCAAATTGCAATAGTCTCTCAGGGTTAGAACATCTCCCAAACTTCAACTCTTTTATCTTACATTTTAAAAAACATTTTACTAATTAAATTTCAACAATTGTTGATCTATGCTCTATTTTTCATGTGCTGTCTCTTTGCTCTATAATATCATTATTGATTATCAATTGTGAACTTATGTATCTCTAATGGAACTTGGAGGAAATGGATTTTATGTTTAAATTTGTCATTGTTAGGTGTTTGCAGAAAGACATAGAGTAACTATGATTGTGATGCAATTGTTAACAATTGTGTTTGAAATTTATGATTTTTGGCTTACCGTAGCATGATGATGTAAATTGTATAATTACTGCAGAGCCGTTAACATCAATTGATGATTCTTCTTCTACAAGTGATGGATCAAAGGTGCACGTGGTATCATGCATATGCATTTCTAACTTGCAAGAGGACCAACAAAACTCCAGGAGTGCCTTTAATCTGTGACTGTTGTGACAATGCAGTAGCTCCGATCACAAAGTAAGCCAAACATATTTGATTAATAAATAATTTTGATCAGAGTATGTTTCAATTGTCTAACTTTGTTTCTGTCCAGTCAAAATAAATTAGATACAAAATTGAAGTCGAGGTTGAGTATGAAGGAAAGATAGGTTGTTTTGTCTTTTGGGACAGGAGTGCATTCTGTAACACCCCACTTTACCCCGTACGCGTAATATAATATTATAGAAAAATAATTCTTAAAATTCATTAGAGTTTTCCAACACAGTGGGATATCACACTAAGTCACTTCATTTCATTAAAATAATCAATATTATTTAGTTTTCAAGTAAGCAGCGGAATACAAATCAATTCTCCAATATAATTCTCCTCGACACGAGGTCATACAACATAAGTCCAATAAATGAAGATACGTAACAATAAGCAAATAAAGTAGTCAAATGACAACGTAATCCCGTCATCCCATGTTACGTCTCAGAGCGACTCCTAAGACTCGATCAAATAGCAACACACTCCAAGCACTACTCAGGTACCTGGTCACTTGTACTCCCAAGAGAGCACAGACACAACAACAAAAAGGGGTGAGAACTACATTCAATAAATAAACGGTGAAATACACATGCTAAGGAGTAGTTACACACCATACATAAAATAAGCACAATTAACGCACATACACGTGCCACCTCAATCACTTGGCATTCATAGCCCACATTCAATTACAATAATGCAATGTGACTCACTGACTCGACACAATGCATGTGGTACCAACACAATCTCATACGGTTCACACTAGAACCTGATTCCCGTCGGAATCCGGATAAGTCGTATATACGTTTCTCTGAACTACAACTTATCTCTACAACGACTTCCACAATGAAGTCCGGATGAAACTAGGCACCCATCATGGATTCCCACCTAGCCATCTCCACAAGACACATGATATGAAATGCATGTCAACACAATTATACAATATAATGCATCATGCATAATTCACGATCAATCTTGATCCACACGAGCCATCCGCTCACCGTAATCCTCTCGGGAATTACCACAATCGCATAAGATTGTCCACATTCGACCATCTTGGCCCACATCTATCAAAACACCAAGACATCATTGAACCAGAACATGATTCGTCACTAAAAAATATACACAATTGAATTCTCAAACATAATTAGATATAAAATATTGGGAAAACAATTCTATTATCTCTCCTATGTTATAGCTCTGTTCATTATCTTTCCAACGCTTCTAACGGGGGTCAAAACGGACTTATGGATCCAAAGTTACGTCTAAAACAATTTCGATCGAAAACATGAACATCCGTGACGGACAGAAAGACGCTGTTACACTCCAGAACTGATTTTCGCTCAATTATTCTTGCAAATTACTTACTCAAAGCACCCAAAACATCACTAAAATATTCCTAAGGTTATACGGCAATAACTGCACAACTTCTATGGTTTATTAGGCTCATCTGGCAACATTTGCAACACATAAAACACTATTTCCTGCAATTGCTCTGAGTACTTCAGAGTTATCCACATTTGAATATTCCTATTCCTATAGGGACAACATATTACAATTTTTCCTTCAATTACACCCTACGACATTAAAATTACTTACTACCTAATATTTAACCCTTCAGGGTCAGACATATAACAATGTCAAGGTTCTGGCCACGAAGGTTCAATTTCCCACAAGTCTTTCCTATGTTAATATTCAACGATGCATATCATTTGGCCATTTGGTCATAACCTCAGATTCTTACGGTTAACTCCCTATTTCCCATAATTAACCCAAATCTCTAAATCTTAGGGAAACCTTAGAGCATCGTACTAATAACGATATAACACATTCATTTCTACATATTTACCCAAATTCCTAAACCTTACATCACCACAACATACCGAAAGGTATACATAGAAAGCAATGAAAAGCAATACTCCCCATACAATAATCATTCAAGAACAGCAACAATTTTATGAAATTTACCATGCTACGAAAATTACATCAAGAATCCTCAAGAACACATAATTCCTATGAGAGAAAGGACCTCTCACTACCCTCTCATGTTAATTCACCCATATTGAAATCCATTCTCCCCCCCCCTTACCTCGACTAATTGTTCAATCGTTGAAGAATCTTGAAGGATTGACAGCCCTAGCCTCCTTCTCTTCCTCCTTGTTCTTCTTCTCACTTTTTCTCCCAAAACCTTTCTCTGGCAGTTTATCGTATTCTAATTCTCTTTCCCCAAAAAAACTTCTATATTTCCTTTAATCCCTTATTTCTTATTTTATTATTTAAATCCTATAATAATAATAATAATACTAATATTATTCTCCCACTAATAATAATATTCATACTAATAGTAATAATATGAATAATAATAATATTCCACCAAATAATAATAATAATAATAATAATAATAATAATAATAATAATAATAATAATAATAATAATAATAATAATAATCTCATTATCATTATTATTAATAATAGTTGGAATAATATTGATCACTATAATGCTCTCGATATCATAATTAACTTACTCCTTTATCTAGGTCCACAGTATCCCAATTAAGGTCACCTCTCTCCCTTACTCCTAACCTCATACCCTTAATTAAGGACACCACACAACTACACCTCACAGAAAATACCAAAGCGGCTGAATAATTTAAATGGGGTGTTACAACTCTCCCCCACTTAAAATATTTTCGTCCTCGAAAATGTGACTGATGAGAACGATTCCGGATACGACTCTCGCATCTTACTCTCAAGCCAATTCATTCCTAAAATAACATCCAACTCGCGGAGTGGTAAACAAATCAAGTTCACTCCAAAATCCTTACCAAAGATCGACATTGGACAATTCAAACACACACATGACTATAAACATTCTATAGTCAGACTCTACTACAACACTGGCCGGACGGACCAACCTGCTCTGATACCAATTGTAACACCCCACTTTACCCCGTATGCGTAATATAATAATATAGAAAAATAATTCTTAAAATTCATCAGAGTTTTCCAACACAGTGGGATATCACACTAAGTCACTTCATTTCATTAAAATAATCAATATTATTTATTTTTCAAGTAAGCAGCGGAATACAAATCAATTCTCTAATATAATTCTCCTCGACACGAGGTCATACAACATAAGTCCAATAAATAAAGATACGTAACAATAAACAAATAAAGTAGTCAAATAACAACGTAATCCCGTCATCCCATGTTACGTATCAGAGCGACTCCTAAGACTCGATCAAATAGCAACAC